TTACTTTAAGAGTACATGTTATGTTTAATTTAAATGTAACATTTTTATTTTAATGTAAGATTATGTTTTATTTATTTTCAATTTAACAGTAATTTACTTTCAAATGCCCCAATTACTGAAGGGTGTGCACAAGTTTTTAGTACAATTTCAAGTTGCATTGTTCAAAATACCTGTAGTAGCACAGCAGTGCATACCTGTTTACACATTACTTTTTCATTCTTGCCAGTGTTTAACCATTCAGCACTCGTGCGCTTCTCCTGGAGACCGTACGCTCATGCACACTCGCAGCGCACATAACGCCAGGTTCACATTACTCCGTTTGCAGTGCATACGTGGTGCGTATTTCTCTCACGCTCATGTTAACGGATTAATAAAGCGTGCACACCGCGCACGGTTGCGGTCCGGCAGTGCGTTCAGGAGCGGTGCGTCTGCAGCAGTGCAGAGATCGTTTCCGCACCGAGTCTATTGCTGCGCTGCAATCGCTGAATTAAAGTAACAGCGCATTGTTTGGAGTAAATATAAACATGGATTGACACGAAAATGTAGTAATTACACCATAAATGCATATTATTAAAGTCTACTGTGTTTCATTTTTTACAATATTCACTCATCATGACAGTAAAATAGGGCATTCTAAGTCAATATACTGCAGTATTTCCTCTTTCAATCAGAAGAAAATATGGTTAACACCCGGTCATGAATAAAAAAATAAATACCGTCATGTACCGTGAAACCGGTATCATTTTGAAAAATACCGTGATATAAATTTTTGGTCATACAGTAGTTAATACCTACATAGGAAAGCTCTGATTTAGTTTCAAATAGTTTTTATTATAGCTTTTATTAGTTTTAATTTTAAAGTCATAGTTAAATAAAAGTGCTTTTTTTAAACTTTATTTACATGTGACTTATTGGGTATTCCTTCATATATATACTAGGGATGTGTGGGTCTAGTCGACTAGTTGACTAAACGGTACAGCTCCTACTAGTCGACATTGAAAACAATAGTCGATTACACGACAGAAAAAAAGAAAAGAAAAACAAAAACATGATTTTATCTGTATATGCATTTTCTTCATGTCAGTTGCTGTGAGTTCAAAAATGACCATGCGAAAGACGAGCAAGGTGTGGGATTATTTTGAATTAGAAGGAAACGGAAACATTTTGTGTAAACTGTGTAAATGTCAAATTGTCTTACAATAACTCTGCTGGAGCGATGCGTAATCATATTCAATACAGGCACGTAGGCGTTTGCTTAGAGGCTGGCCAAAGCCAGCAAATGTCAATCACGTCATTCACTACAACCCGCCGGCGCTGCGATCCCGTCCGCGCCGTCTATTCCTCTAACGAAGACCCACTTCGGTGGTGGTGCGGGATGTCCAGGCGCTTTCTGAAACTCTCGGCTTGCTTTTCGTTATCTCTGCGTGCCTGCGACTTCAGTTACTGCCGAGCACGTTTTTTTCAAATGCAGGAATTTTATTGTTAATCGCCTCAGGTCCCGTCTTTCACCAGACCACGTTGATAATTTCACTGAACAAATAACGCATGGTCTGAGTAAGTAAAATGGGCATTGTTGCATTATTTTTGTTTTTAGACGATATAACCTACACGAAGTATGTTTTTAAAAGCC